TATATATATATATATATATATATATATACTTACATATATATATTTTATTGCAAAGCAATTGAAAAGATTATAATTCTGATTAAATTTTTTTTACAGGTTAAGACATAGACATATGTATTAAAAGTCTCGTATCTATAAATTAGATTATATATATATTTAACATAGTGCAAAGTGAACAAACGGATGCTCTTATTAAGCCACACACACACTTTTTTAATTTGCTTTTTAAGTTATATAAAGTTCAAAAAGTGATTAAATGATTGAATAGATCAATTGTTTATAAAGATTTAACAATAATAGATAAAATTTATAAGTTGAAAATTATTTTTCCTTATATTATAGGTTAAGTTATCTTATATAGCTTATATATATATATATATGTATCGATATTTGTAAATTGATTTAAATTAATATTTTACGATTTCAATTCCTTTTATATTTACTTTATGAATATAATCTTCACATCTTATAAATCTATCGACCAAAATTTTCATTTGGTCGAACATTTGTATCCATCAAATTCCGCGATTGCAACGCTGTAACATAGCTTTTGGCTACTCCATTAAATCATAATCGGTCGTGTGTATCGCATGCAATCTGGCTTACTTCGGTTATCAAGGCTCGTAAAGAACGGAAAATCGGCGATAAGGTACGCGATTCGGGTCGGATTCGGGTCGCGCGTGCGGTAACACGCCCACACGTGTGTCTGCGTGAATTGGCCATGCGCAAGGCTGCGCGATGATCGCTGATTTATGCGGTATTGTACTCTTAAACTTCTCGATTATATATAGCATACATGTCGGTTCTAGCCGCGACAATGCACGGGCTCCGGACTGGTCCTGATTTCTTTTCACCCAGACCCCGGCCACTCGTGTATTTTGTTGGTGCGACAATCGTCTTCGCTCGACCCGTCCGCACCGGGCAGAAAAAAGTTACCATGACGAATCGCAATCGCGACACGACATTTTCGAGGTTTGCTGGTATTGAGAGAAAGGATATTTATACAAAATAGACTATTTAAATTTCTTATTATTTTTATTATTAATATAGCAAAAGAGAAAAATCTTTTTTTTTATACATATTATATGATTTTAAAGGTTATTTTCAATTTTTTTTATCTTTGATATTGTAATTTTTTGCAATATTTCTCAATCTTTTTATTACTTGATTCGGCATGTTATATTGCGATTTATAGATTGAGAAATATTGATCTTTTTTTTTCATATAAAGTGTAAATTTTTTAATATGGTAACTCTATCCTTCTCTAAATATATTCCCATTGATATAATCTACAATTTCAAAACAACAAATCGACAGAAAAATAATTTCATCGGTTTATTCCAAAATTCTATATCTTTCTATATCTTTATTGTTATATCTTTCCAAAAAGAAAAAAAAAAAGGCAATAACGAAAAATTCGTCATTTGATAGCGGAAAAAAGTACGTAGGTGGACTTTTATAGCAGTTGATTGCTTGATTTATAATTTCAGAGATCATCATAAAGATCGTTACAAGATATTCGTGCTAATATCTGATTTTTTCGTATATTAGAAAAAGAGAAATGATCAAAGTTTGATTAAGAACACCGCCATCTCAAATGTCTAACCTTTAAACAAAAACTAAGAGACATTGTCTATCGTAAACACGCCCTCGTCATTAAAACAGAATTTTTACTTTGTTGTTTTGAAACAATTCTGCTACCCTTATGGTCGGGGCTTTTAGTTAATCAGAGATAGTGAATTTTACGATCGAGAATGAGATCGTTAAAAAATCATTAGAACAACCGCCATGATATCATATCCTCGTCACGGAAGCTTTCATTTATAATATTAAAAAACCTTATCTTTTTTTTTATTGTTAAATGATGTTTATGTTAAATGAATTTAACATAAACTTATATATCATATAAGTAAATTTATAAATAAAATTAATTAATTATAATCTTCGTTCTAAAAAATTCTTGCAAATCGTACATTTTTCTATGAAAAAGTTACATCAAACTTAAAAAACTTCAATTGCTATTTAATGGTTTAAAAAGATAAATCATTGCAAAATTAATATCAAATGATTATTCTTCAAATTAAATTAACATATTAAATATAAAATTATTTTTATATTGATGTAATATTTTATCAAATATAAAATATTTCTATAAACATATTGTATTAATCTAAACATTCTAATATATTCATATGCTATACACATATATAGATTACTATTTACATATATAGATATATGTAATTACATAAATATAAATATATATTCGTGATTGTACACACGTTGAGCCACTAAAGAGAGATGTACAAATCGCAATAATTGTTTAATCGCAAAATGAACCATATCAAAATCCGAATCAGGATCAGCTAAAAATCTACTATTTTGCGAAAGACGTGGCGAAGCGTTCGTTTAAGATCAGAATCTATCGATTGAAACTGTGGTAAGCGTGGACCACCGCTGAGAATACTAGCAAACAATCTGCCAGTCACTTAAGTGATCTTAGCACATTTGTCAACTTCATAACACTGAGAAATCCAGCTTCGAAGATATCGCATACATTCGCACATTATATTCAATTTCTTCAATTCTGATTTCTTCTAAGGTTAGTATTATTTAATAAATAATAATAATAATAATAAAAATCTAATAAAATTAAGAAACATAATTTTAATAATAATTCCATTTCGATAGTTTTTTTTAGGAAAAAATCTTTCGAAATAATAAAATAATAAAATCTAACCTAACATTTTGATTTAATTTTCAACGTAAATAAGCAATTTCCAATAAAAAATCTACAATAAATATAGATCATTATTGGAATAATTGATTCAAATTATATCTAATATAAAAGATATATCTACTTACAAAGGTTAGTATAAATGCTATCATCAAGATTCGACCGGAAGGAATATATTGTTGATCGACGATCGGCTCATTGGTGGTCCACTATTGTCGGTCGGTTTGATATCGTCGCATCGAAGATCTTAATCGTTTATTTACGTCGGTGAATGTATACTCGTATCTACCTGTCGTTTCGTGTATTGTGCGTGACTTTGGCTTCGCCGCAAGATGCGTCATGACATTACAAGTCGATTTTATTTCCTGCTTGTCGTCCCATTACATAACTTGCTGCCATCAGATGTCTCGATCGTAGATTATCAGCGATCGATAGACATCTACACCGACAACCGTTGCTCCTTCTTCCCCTTTTTCTTTTTCTCCTCCTTCGTCTGAAGGAAATCGAACTGTGAAAGGTATGAGATATCATTTAGTCTCATCGTCATTGATCCTTTTTGCAAAATATAATACTCATTTCCGTCTGCCAAATACTTACAATAAATAAATGTGAATAAAACCACATTTTGTGCCATGTAGAAAATTATTATATACGTATGTATGTAATATATATATTTACATATAATATTATATAAAATTTCTGAAAAATGTTTTTTAAATTATGAAATTAGAATTTGTTGGAAAGTCGAATACATTTTTTGAGGTTATAAAAGTATGAAATTTTATTGAAAATTTTAATACAATGATGAAGAAATAGAATTGGTTATTTATTAATTATTTATAAAAAAATAAGTTGAATTAAATAATATTTTTAATAATTATTTCCGTCATACATTATCATAATAAACTTAATACTCAAAGAGCGAATGTTCCGTTTTTTTCTTTCGTTTCACCTTTCCGTAATAGTTTTAATCTTAAATGCATGTCAGTATAATCGTATGCCTATATCTTTCATATGAAACGAATTGATCGATGTAACAATTGCGTATTTTTCAAGAAAACTTTTTTCGAATGATGATAATGTCAAGCGATGCATATATTGCGAAAAAAATGTTCACATATAAAGTAAAAAGAAACAATTATTTCAAAATTGACAAAACTATAATTGAAAATTTGTTAAAAATTTTTTAACCAAATCTAAAATTCTTAATGAGATAATAGGATCAATGTGTTTTTGACAATGATTGACAATTTTTATTTTAGGTTATGAAAAGATTATGAAAATTCTTAGCATTAAAATAATTTCATTTATTTAATTTTTTTTTTAATTTATTTAATTAATCAAGATAATTATGAGATCATAACCTTATTTTTAATCTTTTCTGTATCAAACTTTGTTTTATTTTTCTTTTCTCTTTGAGATTTATAAATTTTCTTGTTTAGCTAGAATTTTTTTTGTGTGCCGCATTAAAATAGTAATCGTGAAGGAAAAATTCTCTTAAAGACTCATCTTTATTAGCATTGGACTGGTATAAAACACACGTTGGTCGGCAATAACGAAATACTCACCCTTTTCGGTGCACCCTAAAGTTTAGCGATCTCTAATGAACTGGTAGTCCGTTAGTTAGTCTAACTCGTCTCTTTCTCTCGCCGTTCTCCTATATACCGACTATGCTTACATACATGCATACATATGTACTATTCCTCTATTGGCACATGAGAGAGACAACGAGAGAGACTATGAAAGAGAAAGAGAGAAAGAGAAGTTGGAAACGCGGAACGGTACGCACGTGGATACAAATAAATCCTGTTAGGCAGCGCGAGAGCGACGCAAAGCCGAATTTTCCCGGCTCTCGCATCTGTGAATATTTGCCCGTGGGTAGCGCATTACATGCGCGTTGTAATGCGTTCTAACTACGCTCTCTATGATTCGACGCATCGGAAGCAGCACACACAGACGAATCACAAACAACTTCTGTCGGTGCGATGAGTGTGGGGTCAGGAGAAATTTACATTTTTACGGGATTACGATGGTATTGGGGTGGTAGCATGACCATCCCCATGAGAGGATTAAGAGTTACACTTACAACTGTAATAATAGGGGTACGATATAGTTTCGTATCTTTAGTTATGTAATTGAGACATAAAATTATTGCTACTAGTGTTATTTGAATTATGAATTCGGATATATTTTCATGTAATAATAAATCATGATTAGATGCATACAAATTAAATGCATATAAATTAAAGAATACAATATAAAACTATAACACATATTTCAATAATTATTTAATTTTAATTTCACGCATATACTCTTATTATTATATCTCTTTGTATGATAAAATAAATAAATGAATAAATATAATTATTTTGATAAAACATGATATATAATAATTATATGATAAAACAAATAAATGAATAAATATAATTATTTTTGTATCGAACTTTTAACTAAATTCATCACCGTTGAAAGGAAAAATCGAGATGTAAATTCATGCAAATTACCTTATCGTTCAGGAGACAATAATTATTATGGTGGAAAAATACCAGTCGATACGGTCGATCGATCACGAATTTCCGCAACTAGAATGAACAGTATAAAAAGAGATAGACACAGAAGATTGCAAGACGAAGCATTGGGGTTGTAAATGTAAATGGCTGTGGCGAACAAACCCTCTTTTAACTTTCTTTTGGACGTTGGCGGCTAATTTGCGGCTACGAGGATGGTTTGACAGGAAGGAAGGAAGCGATCGGAAATGAAGGGAGCTTGTGAAGATAAAGGAAGAAATAAACTCCTTCTTTCCTTGTGATTTGCATGCAATTTCCAATTCCACTGGTTTCTTTGATGTTTCCTACCGATCGTTTCTTCATTAACTTTCTATTACAATTCATAAGATTCTTCTTTTTTTTTTTATTCTTCTTATAGATTTGACAGAATATCTGTAATAATTTAACATATGAGATTTATAATTTTATTTATAATTTTTTATTTCTGTTATATCTATAAAGTGTTATATACCTTTTTTTATTTTTCAGAAAATTAAACAAAGGAAAGGTAAAGAAGAAATCTCAAATATCGAAGATTGTTTTTTAGTTACTTTCGACGATCGCTGAATCGTGATCCGTGTCATCCATTGTTTTTTACCAGGCTATAAGAACAAAGAGGGTAGGTAGACGATTGCGTAGGTGCGTAGAAGCCGTCGTGCTCGGTAACAGGATTACGGAAGGGTGGCTGTGTAAGGGTTGCCACGCCGAGGGGTGCCGACAAGTGGACCGAATAATGTTGTGCGGTACAGGAAGGTGCAAAGCTGGGGCGCATTGCAAATCCAAGCTGAGTGAATATTTCCTTGATTCTATTATCGATGGTTCATTTAGTTTTATTTAAAAATCTGCAATATAAGAAAAAGATTTAGATTAATGGAAGATCCTATAAGAAGATCTATTTTTCAGTTTTTGAATTTATATTGTATGTTATATCTATATTGTAAACTAGTATTTATTATAGATTTGAGTTCACTTAGATATTGTTTTATATAATAAAAATCCAAATTCTGATCTGCTCTCTTTTTTACATTTAAGAATGCAAATATATTTGAGAGTTATTAAAGTATCTTTTATAAAGATTTTTTGAACGCTATATTACGAGTTATTATCTGATAAAATTTTTAATTTAAATATATTTGTATTCTAACAAAAAATCATATTTTTTATTAATAAAATAACGATAAATCAATAAATAGCATTTCATCGTTTATTGTTAATAAAACAAGTATTTTTATTGAAATTTTATTGAAAAATGAAATCAAATTTGAAAAAAATTGAAAAATTTATCAAAAATTGAAAGAAAGATTTATTAACTCCTCTAAATTTTTTTCCAAAACGTATATTCCAAAACATCATAAAATAAATGTCACACGTCTTTCGCCAAATGACACCGTGCATTTAAGAATTAAGAAAAATGTCTGTTCGAACCTCACAATACCCGCAATGCCTCCACCCTCAATGATGTTAACCCTTTTGAATCTTTTTTCGATTCATCGATTATGTACATTAAACCGGCACAAATACATGGTAGGAAGAAAGGTAAGTTTTTTTTTCAATGAAAACAGACCGCCCATTCCGATTCCTGGGCCATTACATATGCCATCCTGTTTCGAGTAGTAATAATAATCGACCGACCGACAGAATTTACTAACAGAGAGAATCGAGTCTCGTTGGCCCTTTGAGCGTGGCGTAATGCGATTCGCAAATCGACCACCGTGCCGATGACTAAAATTATTGTTCCAGAAATTAGGGGTTTGCACCCCTACCTCCCTCTCTGATAACCCGCCTGCGCGGTATGCAGCCACCGAATCGACCAATGACGAATCGACTATCGGGGGTGCATAATATTTAGCTAGTATGCACTCTGTACAAACGTAATACCTGCATACAAATTTTACATTCGGATACGATTTTTTTTTTTTTCTTTCTAATTTCTAGAATTTTATTTTGTAATGGAATATCGAAAGTAAGAGTTATTGCTGCTTCGTTATTCAATAATAAAATTAATTCTAAAAATTGAATCTTAATAATCATAATCTTAATTTTGAATATCTTATTAGATAAAAATATCTTCAAAAATTGTGATCGTTTTATGGAATAAAATAAGAGGTTTATCGATGTTTCTTTTCTGTTAGGAGTTAGATATATTCGAAACACGTGCGAACTGAAGCAGATTGCTTGGGATTTTAGGATTCGCGATTCCATCGAAATTCCGCGAAACAAGGGGAGAGATTCTACAAAGGTATCTTAACACAATCGCCTACGTTGTTTCTTGTAGATATAATACGAGTATATAGATAGTTTCAAATATCTATTTACAATGTCGATGTAACCACATTTCTTTGTTAATTCATCACAAAGCACGATTTGAGTTCTCGAAATCTTGATATTCATATATCATAAGATACTTTTAATTCAATTTGAAATTTTTTTTTAATGACGATAATTATATCTTACTATTTTATCTAATACGAAACGAATGACGACAATATCTTACTATATTTTCCATAGATATCTATTAATTTCTCCATACGACAAGAATTTATCCTAGTTATATATATTGAACAAATATTACTCTACCAATCGGTTGAAGACTCCACCATATAAAACGTCCATTTCTGCTTCAATCTTATACTTTTGAATCCTCTTCTATGCATGTTCTCATATCTTATCATATCTAAGCAACAAAGAAAAATTTTATTTAAATATTCCTCCAATAGTAAAAATATATATAAATATTTCAATTAATCAGAGATTATTAAACATCCATTTTCACTTCATCCTTATTTTGAATTGTCTTTTACGTATACTCTTGCACATTTCATTATACTAAGCTCATATTTCTCATATTTCATTGTGATCTGATGTAATGTACTTATAAGACTTTATCAAATGTCCATTTCTGCTTCAATCTACTTTTGAATCCTCTTCTATGCATGTTCTCATATCTTATCATATCTAAACAACAAAGAAAAATTTTATTTAAATATTCCTCCAATAGTAAATATAGTAAATATTTCAATTAATCAGAGATTATTAAACATCCATTTTCACTTTATCCTTATTTTGAATTGTCTTTTACGTATACTCTTGCATATTTCATCATACTAAGCTCATATTTCTCATATTTCATTGTGATCTGATGTAATGTACTTATAAGACTTTATCAAATGTCCATTTCTGCTTCAATCTTATATTTTTGAATCCTCTTCTATGCATGTTCTCATATCTTATCATATCTAAGCAACAAAGAAAAATTTTATTTAAATCTTCCTCCAATAGTAAAAATATAAATAAATATTTCAATTAATCAGAGATTATTAAACATCCATTTTCACTTCATCCTTATTTTGAATTGTCTTTTATGTATACTCTTGCACATACTCTTGCTTTTCATTATACTAAGCTCATATTTCTCATATTTCATTGTGATCTGATGTATTTATAAGACTTTATCAAATGTCCATTTCCATTTCAACTTTATACTTTTGAATCCTCTTCATGTTATCATTATACCTAAATAAGAAAGAACAATTTTATTCTCATATTTCCTTATTATAACTTGATATACTTTGCATATATCTTCATCAAACAAATTATTAAATATTCCAATTAGCCAAAGTCGTCTATCAAACGTCCATTTCCATTTCATCCTTACACTTTTGAATCGTCCTCTACGCGTGTGTATCGCGAGCAGTTCGGGGGCGACACAGGAAGGGCCACGAAGATCGAGGGCGGAGCACGGACGTAGAAGAATGAAATGATCGAGTTATGCCTGATTGCCGCTTGTTGTTCCAGCTCGATAAACCGGACCCGAGCCACCCGAATTCACCTTGTTCTCCCCAATTTTACCAGTCCACCCTCCACCGTAATCATCTTCCGTGGCTCTGCTCCTTTCCAACGGAACGGACCAGTCGTGGGGATCCAGCAACTTTTCAAGTTAGGCTCCGTGGCAAGGATGGAACATCTCTGGTCGTTTACAAAGCGTGAAGATCATCGCGAAATCGCGAAGTCAGCGGCAGGATCTTTAATGCATAATCGGATTCGAAGCGATTACGTGAGCTTCTGTATACGCCATCGAGATTTCAGAGCTCTCCTTTGAGGACGAGGATGATCAAGGAGGACGATACGGAAGCAGGAGAACGCTTTGATGTCCCACAAGGTTGTTGAAATGGATGTCGGAACTTGATTGATATGGATGGTAATAAATATTTGTATCTCGTTACATCCTGTGTGTTGACGAATCTTGAGATGAGGATATCTGAAAATTTATGAATTTGATGAATAGTGTGTTAAATTTTATTTCAAATTATAATTATTGTTAATAATCAAATATATTCTATTCTATTAGATTTTATGAATTAAAATATATATAATAGATAAGAATGTTCATCGATATAGATTATTTTTGATTTTAAAATAAAGTATAAATTTTCTAGAAATTTTACAAATTCTATGAATCTTTAATATAGCTAACTAATTGTAATTGGCAAATTGTATACTACATACAGGATTGGATGTAAAACTTTAAATTGGAAGGAACTATAGAAAATATATAAAAATATAATTTTGAACATTCTTATATAGTGATTACACAGTTTAAATATGATTAATTATTCTTACATTATAAAAAATCAGAATGATTTACTGTGAACACGTTGTATTTGCTAGGTAATTAGTTTAAAGCAATAATTAAATAAAGTAAATAAGTATCCTCGAAATTTTTGGCAGAATAAAATGATCGACTCGCCACTTGTTGGCTTGTATCGGCGAGATATCCATAAGGGGGTATTTTTGAGACCTCGGTTACCTCCACGTTGTCAACGACGTTTAATTCACCGTGTAACCGTACGCGGGATCGAGTTAACGTTAAGATCAAATTGGATTTGGCGCCGGCGCTGCCCTGGCTAAAACTTAGTCATCCGGCAGGACCCTTCTAATCCATTTATGCTCCTTCGTCCTGGATGCTCCATCGTCTCCGCGACTACGTAGTCCGATGAAAGAGAGTGGACCTGAAAGGAAAGGAAAAATGAAAAGAAGAAAGAGATCCTTCTTTTTACTTAATCTTAAAAATAAAAGATTTATCTAATTTTCTATTAATCGTACATTCCATTTAATTATATGAATATCAACTGTATCCAAATTTATACCAATTATATTAATTTTAATATACCGAATATAAAAATGTGGGATGATCGTATACCTTATGGATTTTAACAAAGTCACGAAAGTAATGATAAATATTTCAATGGTAAGTTACATGACTTTTTTTTAAGGAAATATCACGACTAAAAATCAAAGTTTCCAGAAAGGAAGATTTCTCCTCCAACAAAAATTTTTTTCCTTCCAAGTTTCGCGAAGAAGACGCGAGAAGGCGGATCGTGGAGCGGACGAAGATTATTTCGAGGAAGAAGAGGAGGGGGGTCTACAAACAGGTCGAAGAGGAACACGAGGGGGACACGAGGCGGCAGTTTGTTAGCAGGAGGACCTCGCCTTTTTGCAGCTTGCGCCGTTTGTCGACGACACGGGGTAAACTTTTCGTGAGAGTATCTCGCGGCGGTTCGCGGGGCGTTGCGGAGGCGGCTTGCACGGACGGACACGCCCAGCGTCGCGACGCTTTTATCGATCAACGGCCGTACGCACGCCAACGGCCATTTTACTTTTCCGCCGATGGATACGTGAAAATTCAACCGAGGCCCTGTTACCGTTCGAAACCGTGCGAGGGTGAGGAGGAGAGGGCTGACAGAGATGCGAACGTCCCTTCGTTCTCGCGTTCGTCCCTTCACGTGTTCTCGATGAGATGAAAATCTATAATCTGATGAAAACAAACAAAATTAAAAATAGTAAATTATATATCTATAGTGGCTTATGAAAATATTTGAATGCTTTTTTTTTTTAAATGAAATTGTTTTTTTTTTTATTAAAATGTTATAAAGAAGTGAAATCAATCCTCAAAGTTTTATGCTGCTGAATTTTTCTTTTAAATTATAATATTCAGAATTTAGAACTTCATCACTCTGTTGCAAGAAATTCTTAGATAAAATTATATACAAAACATGAAAAAATGCTAAAGCCTTTTGATTTTACAAAAAAAATATAATTACTCCATATATCTATTATATATTATATTCGGTATATATATATATATACATACAAACTTTCTTACCATTAACTTTTTTATCATTATAGATATGTAACTTACTATTTTTAAGTTGTGTACCACTCATCCCAAATCTTCACAGAGTCCTTACGTTGTATCTCGCTTACTACCGATTAACCCTCTAATTAATGAACGTTAACGCGTAATCTTTGGTCCATTCGTTCGCTTCTGTTCCTCATTTTGCAATGTACGAGCTCGGTTGAATCTTCTCGAGTTGGTAGGTACGTGAAACCGGCTTATAGGCTCGTATATCTCTTTATAGGGCCTTATCATATTTATGGGAGCCGGTGGAAGCGTGCGACATGGAAACCGCATCTGTCGGCATGCATATTTTTAAATACCAATTCACCGTACGCGGTTTCACGGCCAAACCGATTTCTTTCCTCTTGAGCGACCCACGTTGCCATTACACGCTCGCATCGCTTCGTTTATTTTATCCTCGATAGTCGTGTATTTCCCTTCTCCGATCTGCGGAAGATCGTTTACGAACGACTCAATTCGAAGGTGAAACGCGATGGTCATTGAAGAGGTAGCGGTGATTTAATTGTCACTCGAGAGATTATTATACTTCTATTGGAATGCATTGGAATATTTTGGTATCGTTCTTGAACCTTGAAAATTGGAAAAAATAAAATGCAGATGTTAGTCAAAAAAAGAAAAATAATTTGATAATTTTTAAAAAAAAATTCTTGTAAAGTTATGAAAATCTGAGTTGGATCAAATCTTATAATAATTTTGATATTAAAATTATTCAAAAATATAGCTATATATATTAATACATACCTATTAATACCTACCTATATACCCTAATTTCGACTTATATCGATATTTTACGAAAATATTTTGATAAATAGTAAGTATCCTAACCTCACTTTTCTTTAAATTCTTAATAGATTTGATATCCGAAAAAAATCCTATTCGACAATTTTCGCTCGAAAAAGCAATCGTATCCTAACGAATCTAGCCAGCCTACGTGGTGAAATGCAAATAAAAGAAAGGTTCGTCTCTCTGATCGAGATGTAACCGATTACACGGATTTTTTCCGCGCGGCACGTTTCTTTCTCGCCCGTATTACACGCGCGCAGGTCGAACATCGGTTCGGTAAGTGGGCACACGGATCCGGGAATGAAACGTGGTGCTCGTTGATTCGAAAGGAATAATCGGATTAAAGGCTGAATACTGGCTGCCGCTGCCGCGGGGTGCAGTTCATTGTGAACGTTGACTCGAGAGGGATGAAACCCAACGTAGCTATGCGGAATACGGGCGGCTACGTTTCCTTTCTCCTACGACAATCGACACAGCGGAGACCCGAGGTCTGACCGAATTCGATTCCGGGGGACTGAACGGCTGCCACGTGGCCCCTATTACATAATATTAGACTTACACCCCCGAACACCCTCTTATTAGGAGAACGTCGGTGAGAGCGGCGACGATTGTGATTTTCTTTCGCGATTCATTCGAATCGCAATCCCACGCGATCATTTCGAGTGTGACGGTATCGATGATGACAATGTGGAATCAGTGGTTTCGTTTTTTGAATTTAGAAAGGGAAATTGAAGATAGACATGTACGTATCGTAATTCGTCAATGTTAATTTTTACTTGCTTTGTAAATCGTGTGTAATATAATGAAATTTTTAATTGTAATCCAATTTACGTAAATGTACGTAATTATATAAATGTTACGTAATTAATAAAAATATTTTATTAAAGATATTTTTAAGATAATAGATATAAAAGATATAGAAGATATAAAAAATAAAAATGTTTTATTAAAGTTTACTTATGCATCTAGTGTTTAGACAGATGTTTCTAATATTATTTTTCACCTGTCATAACCTCAATCACACTTCGTTTACTTCGTTTTATTAAAATTCATATTTAATATGAATTTTATTCTAATCTATATCGAAAAATCTATATTATAATAAAATTAAAAGTTATACCTGTAATATAATATGTTCTTCCTTTATTCTTCGAAAATCTCCAAAACAAAATCGATTTTCCTGTTGTCTTTCCAGCATTCATATAACTCTTAATTATTCCCTAGCAATTGCACAGTCATTCGTCGAAAAGACAAACTTTGAAAAAAATGTTTAATGTATAAACATTTTTATATAACGATCAATAATAATCGTTGTTTTATTTTTCCATCACGATTTTTATTTATCATACAAAACCATGCAAAAGATGATTCGTTCAATTATTATTGGATGCTCCACGCCTCGGTGTAGAATGTCAATCTATTGACGACGAAAAAAAATTCGATATTGGAGGTATAGTATATTACAGCATCCATAGATTGTATCGGTCTTTCTCTTGACTAATTATCGCGAACATTATCACCGTGTCGAGACGAAATTCAGCTGAATCATTAATGAGTACAACGGCATTTGAACACTCTGCAGAAACGATTTGTTCCTAGGTGAATTGTGTGAATGAGAAATATATATGAATACATATCATCGTAAACCTCGGAACGTTTGATCATACAAACACACAAATTCGAAACGAGATACGCATATCTTACGCACTTAAACTTGTACTCGTATTTAGCGTCGACTGTGTTTCGGATTAATGATGATTCTCCTTTGTCAAAACAAAGATAGGTGGTGCTCGTGGTTACATGTACTATGTAAGACAGGTTAAGGTTTGCGTATATGTGTATTGTTCGTACGATTAGTAAGTGAGATGATTAAATTATAGAAAATGAAGATCATGATCTTAACACGTGCCATGTAATATAGGATGTTTGAAAGTATGTTTCGATAAAAGTTAATAATCTATGCGAATTTCTTTTTATCTGAATTTGGTAAAAATTTTAACTTCTTAATGAAGTTATGAGGTTATGATATAATTAGTGACATTCTTAAAAAGATGCAAACGTGTATTCACAATATTCACTTCAAAATTTATTATTCATATAAATCATATTTAAAGGTATCAAATAAATAAATAAATCAAGTTCAAATTTTATTTAAGTTCCATATAACTGTTGAGAAATCATTTTTCGACCCATCATAGTGACACGAAGAAAGTTGTACTGTAACTATGAAAACATTAGACTTCGAGCATGACATATCCTTCGGGATACGGTAAAAAAACTCATGACATTCTCATCCAATGACGAAATGACCCTGTGCTATTACAGGTGAGTAAGAATGATCGGCATCCGCTATCAAAACTGTTTCTTTTATTGTATCGTGATTTTCTTTCTCGAAGATCAATCATTCCCTATACTTCTGATTTCGACGTTTCAATGATCTTATTGCGAACAATTGAACTATTGTATTCTGTTTATTTTGAATCTCACCAGTTAGATTCAAATCTAACGAAAATTGTTAAGCTTCCGATGAAAGAATTAACGAATTAATAATGAAATTATCTTTAGATTCGTATTATATTACGAATATTGGAAATTTTAGATTTTTTTTTAAATTCAAATTTCTTTTATTATTTATATTAACAATGATAATATTTCAATAATTATTTATTTAATAATAATTACAAGTTACAGTCTATATATAACTTTCAAATTATATTTTAAAGCATATATGTCTTTTGTTGAGAGATACAAATATAGAGAGACTTTCAAATTCCTGATCAAGGAGAAAAATATTAAAAAATCTTTTTAGTCTTTCTAAAAAGTACTTACTTGGTCGTGTTAAAGGAGTAACAGAAGATAGAAAGTGCAGAAGTGAAACGGTTGAGGCAAAGTGAAGAGAAGAAAGATGAAAAGAGAGGAATCAAGTAGATAGAGAGAGAAGAGGCAAGAGGGTGGGTTTCGTTAGGTTGGGCGCAGTTTTGATGATAACGAGCGGATTTGCAATCACGACTACATTGTGCAGGATCCTGCTGTTAGCTAACTTGAAGAGGGATGAAACTCAGACGGGCTGAGATCACAGAGCAGGAAGCTGAGAGCGCGAGGATGAGAGATACGTTGGGGAAGCTGCTACAGTCGCGTATATACTCCTTTTCAGTCCCTCATTCCATCCTGTTCCTTCTTCGACTTTACCATGTTCTCTGAAAGTGGAAATCCCGAAATTACAGGACTATAACGTAGTGATACAGTTGCAGGCCTCTGTACCACCTGTACATAAATATCTCGCGAAATTTCCGGTTGTGAAGCAATTCCTCGAATTCGCGCAGACGTGCCGTGGATATGCTAACGAAGGTTAACGATACGGTTACTGGCTAATGAACTCGACTAGTATTGGAAAGTTCTTTTTATAAAATTTTTATATTTACGAGATTTTTTTCCCATTTTCGATTTAAACATTGTTAGTTTATTATGTTATGATAATGATACTTCATTATTGACGAAATAATGTTTATATGTAGTATTAATAAAATATTGAAATTCTGTTATAAATATTATCTTGTAACGAGTTTTCCTGTTAAAAAAGTTCGAGAATCGTAAATATTTCCACTTCATTAAATTAGAACTACAAAATGTTTTATACTTCAGCCAATATAAGACTAGGTCGAGGCTAGGTTTATCAGTGTTCCCTTTAAACTCAAGTGTTTCATGTGAAGGTATCCAAGAAAGAAAGTCGGTTACGGTGTGGTCGGATTTTGACAACAGTGCGTGTTTGCACAGCAGGTGGTTACCAATGCGAGTGACATGTCAGACTGCTTTTTCGAATTTGTATTCTTTTATAAGGTATCGAGGGCTGTATGCGACAATGTATCTCCTCGATTTTGAATGTGAACAGGTCTCTGCGACCACTTTTATCATGATAATTCCACTTGGACGTTGGAAAATTTCTCGAAAAATGTTTGAAAAGAAACCGCAAGTTTTGGACTCTTTCCCAGCATGTTGAATATTCGGTAGAAAATGGGAAACTTTTTAAACATGATTTACATTTGCTCATTTCTCACGATTTTCACTTTTTTATTTTGTCAATGTTGTTTATATTATCGTTACAATATCGTTTACATTGTTAATATAGAAGAATATTCGATTAATAAAGTATAAATAATTACATTTGAAAATAAAACTTGAGAGTTACTTTTAAAAATATTTTTTGCAAATGGATATTATGTTCCACGGTACTTTCAACACTATATTTATTAATGAAAAATAACTTTTTAAAAATGTTTTTTATTTTTATTCTCTATTCGCATCGATTCATAATGGTAATTAAACATTTTTTTTCAGAAATTACTATATACTGTATATAAAACTTTGTTTATAATATATCCATAAAAATTATCTTAGAATATTTTCTCGATAGTCTTGAAAAAATTAAGATTAAAGTTATATATATAATAATTATCGTGATAAACGATGTACGCACTTATTATTTACGTCTCTAAGGAGAAAGAGACATCGATCGCGGAACAGGATTCTCGATAGTATCGATTAATGCGACGGTTGTCCCCTTAGTAAGAATCGGCATCGCTGGAACCCCGTGGTTCCTTTTTGAAGAATCCTCCGCGTGTCCTCGCGAGGTAGAGACCTTTGTTCGTTTTCGGTCCCACTAGCGGAATAATTCGACCGCCATTTTTCTCGCTTTATGCCGGGTAAGCGTTACTAATGGCCCGTATCCTGCCGATCGCGGGTACGACGGCCCCTGTTGCTTCTTCTCGCACGCGTGAACGTCGTTTACACACTTAACCTATACGTCCGTATCGCGTTGCATTTGCACGCGCGAGATTCGCAAGCATGCGCACACGCGCCTACGATGATATTAATAAATAGAGGGCGTATCGCGATTCCATTGAAAACATATAACGCGCATTTATCTTGAAAATATTAGATACATCTTGGAGACTGGAGGAATGTGACGATAAATGAAGAGAATTCGTTTCTTGTTCCTTTGATACTTTTAGAAGAAAGAGATATTGAAAGTGATCAGCATGTCATCTCTACATCTATGTTAGAATTAATAATAAATATGAACATAAATACCGATTGAAGTCTCTTTATTAAATACATCAATACTTAACATATTCCTTACTGCTGTTTCTAGGGAAAATTTTTAGGTTAGTATTATACTCTTATACAATATGAAAAATACAATATGAATTACATATGAACTTACATATCTTATACAATATAAAATGAAAAAAATAAAAAAAATTTAATGAGTAAATGTAATTGCTTTTTAAATTATGCACTATTTTAAATAACTATTTTAAATAAAAATTTCATCAAAAATTAATAAGTAATATCCATCGAAAGAAAAAGGATATATGTAGTAGCAAACATGTTAAAAAATTGTCTAATAAAAAAAATTCTATTTCTATCGATACTTTTCTTCCTTTTCAAGGCATATAATTCTAGAAACAGTGAATTTTACGGATGCACAGGCACGACGCGCGCACATCGATAGAATGGCAATAAAAGGACAGTAGATAGGGCCGAAAATCCGTTTGACAGTTTTTCTCGGGTTCTGAAACCGAAAAAGAAATTCATATTCATTTTAGATGTGGGCGTATATGAATCTAGGATCTCGTATATATACGTCTATGTATCTACTCGCATCATTTCGATAGAAGAGGATGATGCAGGGGAGAGGGATATAGCAGTGATAAAAGGCGTTAGTCCATTCGAGAATGATTTATGTGTCGGCGGAGCAGAAATACAAACAGGTGCTCGAACCTCTTCGAGAACCCAAACTCATCGAAAATAAAAAGGAACGGAGGGAATATAAAATATATATCCACACGTAAATATGCTGGAAGGGGATAGTGGACCGTCTGAGGGTAAACCGTAACTAAACGCTTAACCGAGTCACAAGTTTTGACCTTGCTTTAGAGAACAGAAGTTTTTTAATCATAGATACTATTTTGATCTAGTATTTTTTTTCTATGGCTAGAGACTTTATAAATTTATAAAATAAATTATAAAATATTTATTAATTATATATTACTTATGAGATAATAATTAGAGATTTTTTTTCTCTATGATTATAGATATAAATTATATGTTGAGACATATGATAAACTGACAATTATATTAAAATTGTTTATCGAAAGCAATAAAATGATTATCGAAAACAAAATCATTTATCGAAAACAATAAAATTATTCTTTTTCCTGCTCGAAGTGATTTGCATGATTCATGAATTGTGTAATTTCCAATACGTGACATTTAATATATATTATCGATTATTGAAAAAAAACTTTATGAGCATGATTGATGGATAATTTTTCGAAGAATACACGTAATCACTTGATTGTCACATGCAAATGTTAATGTTTCAGGAAATCGAGGAGGTATTGATTATGTATATTTAGCGGAATAATCAACATAAAGGCGGAATGATATCAATGCCTACATGAATTTTTTTTAAAATATACTTCCTTAAACATGATAAGCAATTAAACATAAATAATTTATAAAAAAAATGACTGATTGCAACTATAAAGAATTTCTAAAATAGTATTAATAAAAATTAAGATTAAATATAGTACAAGACCAATAAAGAAAAAAAGAAAATATTTCTCAAACGAACGAAAAAAAAAACAAACAGAAAAAACGCGATTCTTAAAATTCTAAAAAGAAACAAATAATCCTATGCTAAAATGAATAAAAAAGAATGGAAAGGAATGAAAACTATACGTATGAGAAAACTTCATAAGAAAATGTAAGAGAACTTTAAAGACGATGACGAAAGGAGGAGGGAAGAAATAGAAAGTGAGAGACGGAATCAAAAGAAAAAAAGAAAAGAAAATAAAATAGGAAGAGTTGACACCGCTACGAGAAACACGTTGCCCGCAGAAATTCCATTCCCGTGTGATTCGCTTCCAGAGAATCGCGATTGCCCCCACTCTATCAACCTCGGAACTTTACGATAGCAGGGGTTCCAGTGGAGCGCACGGAACATGGGCGTGTTCTAATAGGCGGAGCTTCGTTCTCGTTTCAGAAGTCTTCGTCTTGAAAAGCATCATTTCTGTGCCACCTAGCGCCACGAACAACCCCGAATCGAGTCACGAAACACGAATCCCCTCCACGTGCAGCGTCTCGTACACATACTCAAATCGTATACATATATGGACAAGCGAATGCATAGAGTAGAAGCTGTGCAAAGAAATCGAGCGAACGTGTGTGGAACGAACGACGTGTGGAAGGGGCAGAATCGAGGATGCCAGTCTTTCCCGGGCTACGGATCGGGACGGGATATTTCGTGTGATTCTATTCGATCTTCCAGTTGATCAACAATATCTTTTCTTTTGCCTTTTGTGATTGTTTATAGTTTTTCTCAATATTAAATTTATTTTCGAAAGAGTTGAATTATTGAAACGCGAGTTTCAGTTTTACGATTATGGATCGAGTGATGTGAATACGGACTTCGTGAATGGAGGGCATAATATTATAGCACGTGTATTTGTTTTAAAAAACTTTTTTTTGATTGTTTGATGATTATGGAATCGGAAAGAGAAAGTTTATGAGATTAAAAATTTTTGGAACAAAGGAAGATGAAGGTGAGTGAATTGAAATTTTAGAAGATAGTTTTAAGATTTGAAAATTAGAAAAAAAGAAATAACTATATTAAGATTGAAAATTTTCCAGAAATAAATACTTTAAAATATTATTATATGATACAACTATTCTTTTCTTATGATGTTAATTTAATCATATGACATAACTTATATATTTTATTTTTTCGAAACTCTATATTTTCAAATAATATTCTATAATTGAGATTCATTTAAATATTTTGTCAGTTCTTTGAACATTTTAACTATATTATATTTCTATTATTTTACCACTATTGCGATACACTAAACGTCAGATATAAAATACGCAAACTTCGAGAAATAACATTTTCTCCAAAAAAAAAAAAAAATATATATCTTTGGAACAGATTGATACGCAGATCGAAATAATTTTAAAATATTGCGAAAAATTATTTACAATCATTGGCGAAACGTATAAGGAACGATAAATCATTAGGAATGTTACTCACTTATGGCATTAAACATCTATGTAGCCAAGTGACGAATGTATACGAGGATCTTAGGTGTCCGGTAGTCGATAGTGAGGTCCGTTTGACCTCTTCACCCTGGCATTTCTCACTTTGTCAGCTCATCTCCGTCGCCTCGAAGTGCTGGTCAATAAAAAATGACTACTATTATTCTTCTTAACTACTCGCTGATTGCATTCTTTGGAGAAACACCTACAAAAAAGATCGATCGAAGAATTCATTTTTTTTATTTCAATGAAGATTTGATTTTGTATTAACTGACTTATAAGATTAGATACTTGTGGATTTTGAAATTGGATAAATTATAAGTAAGATAAATTATAACGACATTTATCGATGTGTTTGATAATATACGGAACATATTATTATGCCTGTTAGATTGTGATTAATGAGAAAATTTTTTTTGAAATTGAAAATATTTTTAGTATATGTACAGTATATGTACATTTAATATATTGATTCGATACAATTTATTCAGATTTATTAGATTAATTATTAATCGAATTATTAGTCGAATTTTTCGGAAAAAAGCATCCTTATTTTTTCTTTTGGAATGGTTTCTCAGGATAGAAAAAAAAAACGACGAATTTCGACCTGTTGTAAATTACCTCTTGAATTTTGTGGACTCGCTTTTTTGTGGATCGTAAACCAGGAACGCCATTGTAAAATCCTATGATCATTGAATGTTTCATTCTATTCTTTCTTTTTACATTCTTTTCTTTTTCATTTTTTTTCTTTCCTTTTCGATTCTTTTGTTGTATAATCATTGCGTAATTAAAAAATTCTTTGATATCCACATTTTTTACACATTTTAAATCATTTATTTTAAAATGACTAATAATATTTAAACGGATAATAATTTTAATTTTTCAAATATTAAAATTATTGTATTTAATTAATTATTATTGTTAATTTTGTACTCAATTGAATCTTTTAGATTTGAAATTAATGAACATAGATATCAATAATAACTTCGCTTATTTCGATAGATTTATTACGAAAAAATTTATGAAATTTTTAAAATTTTAATTTAACTTTTTTTTCAATTTCCATATTTCATACAATAGTTTTCACAATGAAAACAATACATATAAATATTTAATAAAAAATATTTAATTAAAATTAATTAGTAATTAATTAATATGTAATTAAAAAATAGGATCTGTTGTTAGAACACATTCTTTATTCAATTAATAAGATAAATATTAAAATATTAGGATAATGAATGTTCTACTTTATTATTTAAATAAAACCTACTTTATGGTTTAACGCTTGAAACAATGAGATTGGACAATTATGATTGACAAATAATCAGAAATCAACAAGAGGGAAAATTGAATAAATATTTGTATAATCTTTATCACCGTATTGAATATATACTTTTGAGATTAAATTTGACAGACGAAGCGTGAAAATGTCTCGTTCTCAAACAATGGAATTAATGAACTGCAATTATATAATGCAACATTCAAGTATGTATTATACAATATTTTCATCGTATAGTTTATTACGTGATAATAGGAATTTATGATTAAACATGATTGAGGTTTAATAGCTGCAAATGAGTGACTTGAGACAGTAATATTTTAATATTGCAATAAATCAACAGCTATATGTGTATATTTTTTAGTAAATATGTGTGGAATAATAAAATTGAAAACAAAACAAATAAAATAAAAAACATTAAACATATGAAAAAAAAAACAGAATATAATATGAATCATAAATACAATCAGAAAAGGAATGGTTCATGAAATAAATCAAAAAATATGGAATAAATTTTTTTTTTTAAATTATCTAATACATGGATGCCTGAATAGTTCACGATTGAATTTTCAATTTTCGCGAACGAGAGAATTAAAAATAGAACTAATTACTATATTCCGCATAATAAAATATCTATTCAATGAAGAAGATTCTATCATATTTTAAATCATAAAATCTCTCTTTGATCCATCATTGCTAAGTTAAATACGCGAACATTGAACACGTGAATTTCTGTACATGAATTATTTCAAGAACCATGAAGAGAAGAATCGTTGAAAAAAAAAAAGAACCATTGCACAACCGACACCTCGAGAAAGACAATTTCGAAGATATTACATAGTCTTGTCTTTTTTCGTTTCATTTTCCTCTCTCTATCCTTTCTCTCCTTGTCACTCTTTTTACCGTCGGTCAGTAATCATTTCACGTTTAACTGGACGGTCATTGATTTATGATCTGCCGAAGGCAAAGTTGAATTTCCCACCTGTGATTTATACCTTCTGGCATTTCGATCTTCCCTCGGAAATCGAACGTTTCTCTTCGACATAATACTATCGATTAATACAGTGTCGCGCATCATGTATAATTTTTGCTATTCTGCGATTTTCTAACCAAATAACTGAAACATCATTTTGATTGAACTAAAAAAATTATTAGGAAGAATTATTCTCGATTGAAATTGATTCGATTTTCGTTTGAAATTCTTATTGTTTTTTTTTTTGATTTAATTTCTGATTTCTCGAAGACTTTTTAACCTATTTTTAAGTAATTTTGTGTATTGAATAACTGAGTACTTACTAAGAATCTTTACTGCATAACAATCATGAGTTTAATAATAAAAAATGTAATAACAAACTTTTATATATATAAATTTTAGCAATTATAAGTTTCATTATCTTATTTAATAAGAAATTAAAAAATTATGAAATATAATGCGTAAATTCTTAAATTATTAATACTATTAGTTGCTAAATTAATTCGCAAGAGGTCTCTGGTTGCTATTTTCTGAAATTATATTGTGTTTCATTATACCTGTATACATTTTGATTAAAACGTGATATAAAACAAGTTTCATATATCTGTTGTCCAGTTAAAAAAGAAATAAATATGTGAACATAGAATAAATCGAAAGACATAATGTAATTAACTCATTGATTGCATGCTGGGCCGAACAATAACCTTTGTGAATTACTCGTGTACCAATTAATATTATCGAGGTAAAACATAACCTATACTTACATACACGCACTTGTATAACGCACAGGTATATAAGTACAAGCATGTGTGCCATGACACACTGATAAGAAAAAAATTGCATACAGATCAGATACGCGTTATCTTTGCGTTTATCTCTACGCATTCACAATGACTTTCTCTCTTTCCCTTCGTTGTTTTTATCCCCCTGTTGTTCTCTGCTCCTCTAACAACAGAGACTGGATTGAAAGAAAGAAAGAAAGAAAAAAGACAAATCAGCTGCATCGTGTCGTTCGATTGTCAATTAATCGCAGTCGAAACCCTAGTACTTATACAGGTTTGGTTTAAGCGATTCTTGACTAATGAACAATTAGAAGGATGAATTTTAATCGATGATCATGCTTTTATAAAAGAATATAATTTTTTTTTTTTTTGAAATATTAGATTTTATTGGAAAATTTAGTATTATTATAAATATAAATATAGATATAGTGCCTTTAATTTTTTAAAATTTAATGTGAAAAAGATAGATTATATAAAATTAGTTTTTGAAATAGAAGGAAGTTTTAATTTTTTTTAAACTAATGTTCGTAAATATTTTTTAACTCTTTAATTTTTATTTTTTTTATTTTTTTTATATATATTTAGATTTATGATTTATTCTATTTGATAGTTTTGTCAGATCATTCGATTTAAGATTATTAACAAATTTTTTGAATTTAATAATCCAATTATTGAGTCGAACGATAAATCTTTCCGAATATTATATTAATGTAAATTAATATATCGTCCGTAAATTTTACAAACGATATTCAAAGTTTTTGCGCGGTTAATCTTATAGAAACCTCTTTCCGATTTATAGTTGGCGATGAGAAGAGATCCCTACTCTCACGACCGAGCCTAATTAATTAAACGAGAGAAGGCCGGGATATCTCTCGTGCATTCAATCAATTAGTTTCTTGAGCATGGCCCATTCATAGATCCGTTTCAGATTTAGTTTTAAAGCAATAGTTTTAGGTAGTTTATTGAATCGTGAATTATTTTTCCTGAAATCACTTCAGATATATATAATTAACATATGATATTCATAATGATATTCATTATTAATATTATTTTAATTTAAAAAATTTGAATAATGACATAGAAAATATTACATCTTGAATTAAAAGAGATTTTTAGATTTAAGGATCAGTAAAGATATTTTAATAAATCTTACGAAACCTGTAAAGAATAAATTCTTTTAAAAAATATTTTCTGCACTTTAAAATAACAATATCTATAAAAAATAACAAAATTTTATTTCAAATAAAAATTTTCTAGATTTCCTTACTTATAACTTTCAACAATAATTTAAAACCTATACTTACATACACGCACCTAACCTTAATTTAAAAAATATACATAGCGATAAAATATTATTCACCACCTATATTTATTATTTATTCACATTTTTCAACACTTCAGATTAAAAATTTGAAATGAAAGAAATCAATATCGAAATTTGTAAAATTTCTACCATGTTACGCGTTCAATTAAAAGGAAGCTCTACCTATGGATCCCTAGGGGCGTGTCTGTCGCTTAAATCTCAAGAGGCCCACAATGAACAAATTTGCGCCTCTCCTGAAGGTCGTTTCGCGTGCACGCACATTCGATGCACGATGTGTGCGTAGTCATGCGAATCGTGAACATTGGTCCAAGCTGTTGATCGAGGAGGGATCATGCCCAGAGCGGCATCATTTATCAGCCGGCGGCCGTCCGCTCGTTTATTATTTCACTTTGCCGAGTATTAATTGAGATTTGGAGCCCGCAGCCAACCTTTTTGTATATTCCATACCCGGAAACGGTTGTAGTGCGTTGCATGTCATAACTATGAAATCAGATGAAAAAATTTTGATTCTCATATGTTGTGAGAAATTTATGGTTACACACTCTAGGATGAATATATGGTACAAAATAATGCTTCTTAGAACTAAGTGTTGTAAAAATATTATTTAAAAATAAATGATATGAATTTGATATTTTTTTTTTATAATACTTTATCAATAATGTTATCATTATGATAATCACATAAGGTGATTATATAAAATAATGGATGATTGGTATTTGAAGATGGTTTCGAGATATTGAAGATATTTTTATTAGATCATAGAAAATTCAAAATAATATTCTACGTATAAAATATAGCACAGACTTTGTTCGTACAAGTTGACACTTTTATGAATTGATCGAGCACGTTAATTCACTAGTCAACAAATTCTAACAAATCCTCGCTTCTAATAACGTTAATAGTGTGGTACGTGTTCTTTTTCACAATTTGTATAACTTGATATAACATGGCCGTGGTGGTAAATTGCACTGATGACACTGTGCAGTGACTTGTAGCAGCTGTTTGAGAGGTTTATTGAAGGAATTGTATTTGTGTTGGTTTGTACAAGATGTTTGCAGAACTTAAGAGGGTGGAAGATAGTGGAGTGTATACACGTAGGTTGTAAACCATGTGAGAAGATGAAAAATTAGCAGAGAATAGTATTGTAGGCAAAACTGGTTCCTCTGGGTTAGTTGCTTTGTTAATTAAGTTGTCTAGGAGAATTATTTCTTGTATTTTCGAAGTTTCTTGTTGATACTATCTATGTATATTTTACTTCTCTTTCTTTTTAATTTTTAATTTTAAACAATAATGAACTTTTACGAATTTTTCATAAATTTGTTGAGAATATAGGTTTTATATACTTATTGATTGTGTTTAAATTTAAATTCTTTATAAATAAATGGCAAAGAGATGAAAATCTCAAATTTTAATTACAGCATGATAAATTTAAAAAATTCATAATTTAAAACTGCTATTCCTAAATTTTCAAATCTCAAAAATTTCTAATAATTAAATCTTCAATAACTTAAATCTATATTTATTTATTTTTCTTAATTTTAATAATTTAAATTTTTCATAATAGAATATTTCATATATAATGCAAAATTTAAAAAAAGTGAGAATCTTAATATAGATTTCCTAATAATAAAATATTATAAATAACAATAATCTATTCCAGACTGAGATTGAAACAGAGACAGAGTGCACGGATGGCATCCTTTGTTCAAACAACAACAATGTCAACACAAACAATAATAATGTGGCAAATATTAAAAAATCTGGTACCAATATTACGACTAACGACAGCCACGATGGAATGGAAATGGACTGTGGTGGTTGCGGGGAAAGCGTACGCGAGCGCACTGTCCTCTGTGTAGGGGGTCGTACCTGGCATTCCAGATGTCTGAAATGTTGCGCCTGTGCTAGGCCACTGCACGATCAGCACTCCTGTTTCCTTCGAGGGATGCGGCTTTATTGCAGACACGACTACGCCTTGTAAGTACGGTTTGTAAGACTGGTTTCTATTTATTTCTCAGGCTTACCTTTAATCTTAGTTATTTCTTAGATTACGAGGAAACTTGTGTTTCTAGACTTTCGTGATTTATATAGCCTTTTTATATGAAATTGATTAATCCTCTATAATTTTTTATTTTTGTTTACTTTTATAAGAATTCAAATTATAAATATTATAATTGAATTTCAATTTTTTATGTTGATTTAAATACCTGTTATTTAAAAATCATTAAAATGTGATAAATAAACTATTTAATATTAGTAAAAATGATATAATTAAATATAAGTTTTAATTTAAAATAAAATTTGAAAAAGGAATCAATATAATATATATATATATTTTTTGCACATGGTGATATAAATTTATATAATAAAGTTAAATTTATTTGTATTCATTTGAGATATTTTATTTTTTAACATTCAAATCCACATATGCAAAATAATTAGAGATGTTCATTTTTTTTTAATTTGTCTAAATTCGACTAGATTAATTTGTAATCCATGTATTTAGTTTAATTTGATTCTAATCATAAGTACAATCATTGAAAAGTCTGTTTATCAAATGGTCGTATAGTTTGTTTCTCTTTTTTTTTTAATATAAATCTGTGAATTTAAGTAACACTTTTTTTCCTTTCATTTGTTTAAATAAACAAGTTTTGTGCATCATAAAATATATATTCTTAAATCAATTTTCCATCGCTATATTTACTTTCTTTCATTCGTATAACTGAACCTAACCTTAAATTGAAAAAAATATTAATTTTGTTTAGAATCATTGTATTTTTTATTTGTTAAATCTTTCTTATTTAAATATTTTACATTTTCTCG